CAAATTTTGATGATCCAAAAATGGTTTTTTGGCTGAAGGCTTTGAAAAATTATTACATGCAACATGTCTAACGACTTTCAAGGGAAATGAGTGATTTTTTACTCTCTGAAATGAAGATGTCTGATTTGAAGATTTGTACTGATGCTATGCTGATTTGAGGAAATTAGAAGATTTCAAAAGAAATTTGTATATTCAAAAATTTAAAAGTAAAAACAAAACTAGAGAGAAAAAACCAAACATTTTAATTTATATTTTTGTTTTGGGAATATCAAAAACCGTTAAATATCATATCGGTGGTACAACCGTAACATAGGAACCATTTTGTTCACTTTTTTGCAGCATGTATGTCCCGAATAAAATAAGATTTTAGTTAGTATTTTTTGTTTTTGTTGAAAACGACGAAACATAAATTCCGGTTCTTTTTATTGTTTTCGAAATTGATTACAAAATAGTTAATTAATGATCAACACAATATTAACAGTTGATAATAATAATAATAATAATGTAAATATTTTCAACATATGAGTTACACTTAACTATTATTTGTATGAATTTGATTGATTGATTTAGAATTGGAAATCAGAATCGATTATATAAAATTCTTTTTAATCAAATCACGTGAAAGATTTATCGCGTGATCAATAAAATCGAATCGAGTCAATTTTGGTAAATAGGCAATAATTATTATTAATCAATTAATCGATAAATGACGAATGAATGAAAAATCGCATCACAATAAACAAGCTATATAACAAGCTTAAACTATATATAACAATTTTTTATTTTTTCCAAAGATGTCTTCAATCATTTTTTTTAATTTTATTTATATAAAAAGAGAAAAGCCTTTATTTTCCTCACATGCGATTATTTATTTTGGAAAAATTACAACATCTTTAATTACCAAATACGGAACCATATTGGCCAAGATCGCTATTTTTGGCACGTGACAAGGCGCGTCTTATCTATTTTTAGCAATGAATTTGAAAATATAAATTGATTTTCTGCAGTGAAAACTTTATCTTTATAAAAAAAAAAAAAAAAAAAAATATATAAATACTTTTATATATATATTCACAAATGAAAAAATAACATTTCTATGAAGAATTATTGATGACAGACGATGGTTTAGGAAGATGTTTCTCCCTCTCCCCCTCTCTCTTCTCTAATATTATTGTTAAAAAACTCGCTCACTAACTCAAAATATGCAAATGTCAGTCATTTAGATAATGATAATAGCAGTGTACATCTATCTAGCAGTATTATTATTGTTGTTGTTCTTGTTGTTATACTTTTACGTTATATACCGAATATCAGCATTTTTGCATTTTAAAACAAACAATGACATTATAATCATACATCTTCGATTCAGACAACTCATTTGACTTTTAAGAAGAAAGTCGTGTCATAATTAACTAACATTCTTGGAAAATAAAATATCGAAAACGAAACTAATCAATGGGCTTGCCGATTAAGTATTAACCGTGACTATTTATTATTACCATATTAATATTAAATCATAATAAATATATAAAATTGCATATAAAATTATAAATATAAAAAAATTTTTTTTCTTAAATTTTCTTCGCTTTTATCATAATGATAATAATAATAATCATTTAATCCAATTTTATAAATAAATTTTTATTCTGCCATTAATAATAAATAACAAGATTATTACTTGCCTAAAAAATCAAATTCCATCCAATAAACTTAACGCAATTAAAATAAATCGTCATGTCACCATTCTTATATTGCTTTTTTGTCTCTCTTTTTGCGTGT